GCCCTTGTTTTCACTGTTCTTAGGTGTTGGTCTCATAATATGTGTTTTTTAATATCCCACAAACGAGTCCAATCATCCAATACATATTAACTCTGGCTATACAGAGACACCTCATGCATGTAGGAAGGCGAACAGGAGAGATCCCCCAGCTAGGAATGAAGCTGGGCAGGACAGACTCTCCCAGAGGCCCAGCAAAGTACTTAGGGATGTGGAGTGGAGGAATTCCTGTGTCTGGCTCCGCACCTATCCACTGGGTCCTGGACTTCATCCTGCTGCACCCAGTGCTCTTGCTCAGCCCTTTGAGGGTGCAGGGCTATGGCCCTGGGGACACCCATGCCCAGGCAGAACTTGGTCACTCTTTGGTCCCCCAGGGGGTGGTGAAGCCCAATGAGCTGAGTGGGCTGGGGTCTGTGTGGTCCCTTCACTGCCCTCAACTTGCTGTACCTACCACTTACTTTCTTTGTTGGTTGCCTTTCGCTCTCTTTATCTGACTGTGGGTGATTTGTAGTTTGGGTTTCCTTGGAGTCGTTCTTTGGGGGTCCTGCTTTAAAAAATAGCAGTCTGGGACAGATATAGAATGACTGCATTCATCTGTGGAATATAGAATATCATAATATGAGACTGACACTCAAGGACAGTAGACACAAGAGCCAGGGATATTGCCCCATAGTTGGAAGCATGCCTCGTGAGCTGGGGAAGAAGGCAGCTGGGATAGAGAAGGGATCACTAAATCAATGATGGTTGGAGGGATTGCTCAGGATGGGAGATGTGTGCTGAACGTAGATAAAGGACCAAATGTGATAGCCTCTCAGTATCTGTATTGCAAACCATAATGTCCCAAAGTAGAAAGAGTATGGGGGAAATTTGTCTGCCATGGAGGCAGGGGGAGGGCTAGAAAGGGGGAGGTTGTATACCGGGGATATTGGTGGTGAGAATGTGCACTGGTGGAGGGATGGGTGTTCGATCATTGTATGACTGAAACTCAAACAAATTTTGTAACTGTACCTCACAGTGATTCAATTTAAAAAAGAATATATATGTATATTATGTATATCAGTCTCATTGCAAAGTGTCTGTCTCACAGCTCTGCACACATTTTTCTGCCCTTCCTCACTTTCCCAAGACAGTTTCTCCCCCAGTGAACTAGCAGAACTGCTGGATGTTCTGAATCAGGGAGCCTCTCACACATTATGCCGGATTAGCTTTGAGGACAATTTTAAGAGGCGAATGAAAGATGTGAGCCACCCCCACCCCCTTCGTTTTTGCCTCCCTTATCTCTCATTTTTGGAAGTTTCCTTCTTTTTTTCTTCCTTAAATCAATCTCAATTAACTTTGATATCTTTCTTTAGAAAACCATGTGCTGAATAATGCTTTGCCAGATGTGGGACTGGATTCCTCTCCTCTTCCCAACACACACGGAAGCCTGTTTTCCTTCTAAAATTTCAACCCATCTTAAAAAAAAAAAAAGAAGTCCTGCACTATGCTCATGGGGTCTTTAGATGCGCTTGTGAGAACATCCAACTTGTCGCAGGGAAACGCCGATAAGCATTTGTTCCTCTTTTTGTCGCAAACGCTACAGTCTGTTTCGTGTTTAATGTAGAATATGGCCTGCCCCCTCTGTGGAATCTGGATGCGTGATTCTCTTTTCATCCAAAGCCATCGTTACCTAGGGGGTCATTCCCCACTCAGCCTGGGTTCAGCTGGCGGGACAGGGGCACCAGCTGCCCTGTTGCCCACTCCAGATAAATCCACGCTACTCAAGTCTGCCATGGGAGGGACTGTCAGCCATGTGAAAATGATTGAAGAGGCTGTTGTTTCTTTTCTTCCTTCCTTCTTTTTATATACTTCTGGGGACACACCGGCAGTGCTCAGGGCTTACTCCTGGCTCTGACTCCTGGTAGGGCTCAGGGGACACCCTCTGGGGTAGCGTGGATTGAGCCACGGTGCAAACAAGACAAGTGCTTTGGCCCCTCAACTTCTCTCTGGCCCCTGTTTGTTTCTCTTCTTCTGCCTGCCTGGCGTGTTGGCTGGCATGATCCATCCTTTTGTAGGAGCTGCTGCCTCAACTGCTGGCTTCTCCCTGCTCCGCCCCCCCCCCCCCCCCCCCCCCGCCTCCAAGAAGTACCTTGAGTGTTTCTGGAGACTTCAAAGGAGGCGTTTTACAATCTGGCAGCTCTCATCAATACAATTGCCTGCATATTTGAGAGTGGTCACAAGAATCAATCTTAATGATAGTGCTCATTGCAAAAGATCAGTATGTGCTAGGGATGTGGCTTGGCAGTAGAAAACACCAGCTTGTGTGGGTTCTGGAGCCATACTGAACACCACAGACATGCATATTGAATGCAGAGTACACACACACACACACACACACATACACACAGACACACACACAAACACCCGTGACATGGCAGGGTGGTGAGCCATACATAGCTTGACTGACTGTGATCCCTGCCCCCGTGAAGTACAGAGGATCGTGCTGTGCCCATGAAATGGGTGTTGTACGCCGATTTCTGTGTGTCAAGTATTATCATGAAAGCTGTGTGCTGGATGCAGTTATTTCTCTCAAACGATGTCCACTGTTCTGAGCATAGAAACCTTAAGCTCTTTCCCTGTGTTTCTAGCTAAGTCAGGCCAGCAAACCCCATCCTGGGCATATGTGAATACAGCTAGAGTCTGGGATGAGATGGTAGGGTGAGGGAGTGGCAGTCCCCACTGGGTTGGGAGGTGCTTTGTGAAATAGTGTGTGTTCCTTAAAGATTCTGACACTTGGGGTCAGAGCAATAGTATAGCAGGCACGGTGTTTGCCTTGCACACGCTGACCCAGGTTCGATTCCCAACATCCCATATGGTCTCCCCAGCACCGCCAGGAGCAATTCCTGAGTGCAGAGCCAGGAGTAACCCCTGAGCATCGCTGGGCATGACCCAAAAAGAAAAAAAAATTCTGACACTTCTGGGTAGGAAGGGGTAACCACTAGGACTTACGCAAAGAGCTGCCCAAGAATAAGAAGGAGCAATCCTGTGTTCACATCCCTGACCTTCCACGACGAGGAGAAGTAGGATTGTCGGAGGCAGGGTCAGAGAGGGCAGAAGCTAAGACAAACCCCTGTCCTGTCCCTCTGTCTCTCTGCACCTCACCCAGCTCAGGGCAGGGCTGGACTGTCTCTCAGTCTTCCTCCCTGGAAATTTAGAACACTTGGGCAGCAAGATCTGCCGGATCCTCCCCGGCTTCCATTTCTCTTTCTCTCTTTTTTTTTCTTTTTGGGTCACACCTGGTGATGCACAGGAGTTACTCCTGGCTTTGCACTCAGAATTACTCCTGGCAGTGCTCGAGGGACCATATGGGATGCTGGGAATCGAACCCGGATCAGCCTTGTGGAAGGCAAATGCCCTACCGGCTGTACTATTGCTCCACCACCCGGCTTCAATTTTTCCTTTCTAAGAAGGTGGTGACCCAGCCAGCCTGTTCCTCTGCTCTGAGTAACAGTCCAGGGTCTATCAGCATTGAGGTGGAAATGATTGAACCTCAGGGGAGCTCAGGGGGGTGCTGTTTTCCCATCATTGAAGCCACAAGGGAGTGTGGTTGCTCTGGTCAGTGGCTGGTCTCTCACTGGGGCAGTTACAATTCCACATCCAGGGCTGGAGCGATAGTCTAGGGGGAAGGGCACTTGACTTGCATGCAGTCAACCTGGGTTCGATCCACAGTACCCCATATGGTCTCACAAGCCCACCAGGAGCGATTCCTGAGTACAGAATCAGGAGTAAAAGCCCTGAATACTGCCAGGTGTGTCCACTCCAAACACACAAACAAAAAATTCCAAGAAAACTTGGCTGATTTGTCTATGAAATCGAAGCCTCAACAGAGGCTTGCTTGCTTGAATTCAAAGCCAGAGAGACTAGCAATGGGAAATCCCTATTATTATTTTTAATTTTAGCAAAGGGCTGGAGCGATAGCACAGTGGGTTTTTTGCCTTGCACAAGGCCGACATGGCCGACCCGGGTTCTATTCCTCCGCCCCTCTTGGAGAGCCTGGCAAGCTACCAAGAGTATCTCGCCACATGGCAAAGCCTGGCAAGCTACCAGTGACATATTTAATATGCCAAAAACAGTAACAACAAGTCTCACAATTTGTTGTGAGATGTTACTGGTGCCCCCTCAAACAAATTGATGGATGGGAGGACAGTGCTAATCTTAGGAAATGGGGCAAAAGAGTCAAGGAATTCCTAGCATAAGCAAGAAGGGGGAAATCTAAAGTGATTTCCTCTAGATTGAAAATCTAGTGATTTCCTCTAGATTTCCTCTTGCTTGGAAACCCCAAGAAAGCTTGTCTGTGGGGGTATCTGAAAAAGACTCTCAGGGTATAGGGTTTGGGTAAGGGGGTCCTTTATCATCCTGATGTTCACCAGAGTAGAAGCCCGTCTTGAAATGATTTCACACCCAAAAGGAAACATCCACACTTTTCACGGGTGCCGAGGCTTTGCTTGCTCTCGGCCTCTCCTTCTTGGCCCGGCCTCTGCCCCAAGCTCCTGGGAGCGGAGCGTGGCTTCATCTCACCAGATGTTGAGGTGTGAGCGTTGGCGCTCTGGTTTGAAATCCTCATGGCCATTCTGTATGCTGTCTGCCCGAATTAGAGATTGCATTTGTCACGTAATGACATATGTAATTGGATGTCTTCGGAGACCTTTGAAATTCAACTTCCTTGAGTTGAGATTAAAGTGGGGGGACCCACGCCGCCAGCCTGCAGGCAATGCTGGGGAGGTTCAGTTCAGCAGAGAAGTTTTTTGGGGTTGACGGGTCTAATGCTTGTGGTCTTGGGGGCTAGGAGAGAGAAGCAGAGAACTTTCGATTTCTTTTCTCCGGAGAGGTGGACCTGGAGGCCACGACTGTGCTCTCCAGTGGGGTTGCAGTGGGGAGTGACCATCCAGCGGGTCTTTGAAAAGAGCATAGCCCCCCACCCCCACCCAGCCCTCCGTGCTGACTGTGCGTGTGTCTGTGTGCAGGAAGCTCTATCGGTGGTGAGTGAGGACCAGTCGCTGTTCGAGTGCGCCTACGGGACCCCGCACCTGCCCAAGGCCGACATGACTGCCTCCTCCTCCGGAGACTATGGCCAGACCTCCAAGATGAGCCCCCGGGTGCCGCAGCAGGATTGGTTGTCCCAAGCGCCCGCCAGGGTTACCATCAAGATGGAATGCAACCCCAATCAGGTGAACGGCTCCAGGTAAGGACACAGCCGGCCCTCGCCCCCATCCCTCTGATATTCTGCCCCCCCCCCTCCGGGGAAGCCACAAGGGAATGTGAACCTGGTGGGGGGGGCTGCAAAAGAGCAGACAGGGGAGTGTCCTGAGGCCAGGGACACCGTCCTCCCCCTCCAGCCCTGCGTTATGGGGGGTGGAGGGTGTAAGTTTGTGGCCCTGAGAACTCTCATTGAAGATGGTGTCTGATTCTGTTCTCCAGGTGGGAGGAGGATGTGGTCCACAGATGGCCAAGTCTGTGCCATGGGGGAGGAGGAGGGTCATTACTTGGGAAAATCCTCCTGACTTAGGTTTTTCGGGAGAGCTTCAGCTAGTGTCTGGGAGGAGAGCTGGTGTCCAGGGGCTGCCAATGGCTCCAGGGTCAGTCCAACTCCCTCTCTGTCCCCAAAGTACTTGGCTTCTCCTTCTTGCCCCCTGAATCTAGTGAGCACTGCGGTGTCCAGGAATGACTAACATTCTGGGTCCTGGAAACTGTCTGTCACCCAGGATGTGTCAGCAGGAACACGCACCCCTCCCACCCCAGTTCCAAAGGCCTCTTGGGATATTGTTGGGAAGAGTCAAGTTGATTCAGTGACACCGTAGCACCCATGGGGAGGCAGGAAAAACTCAAAAGCTCAGGATCCAAGAAGGAGAATTCCTTATCAGAGAGAGAGAGAGAGAGAGAGAGAGAGAGAGAGAGAGAGAGAGAGAACAGTGCCTTCCATAGAGGCTGGGTGGGGACAGGGAGTTGAGGGGGGAGAAAAACTGGGGCCATTGGCGAATGGGAAATGTGCACTGATGAAGGGATGGGTGTTGGAACATTGTATAACTGAAACCTAACCATGAACAGCTTTGTAACTATCTCATGGTGATTCAGTAAGAAAATATAAACAAATAAGAGATCATGTCATCTGACAGAGAGTCTGGGAGCAGCCCTCCCGCCAGGCCCCAGCATGGGGGCTACTGCTCACTCTGGCCCACCCAGACACGTTATGGTGACCCTGAATGGTCATTCACCGTGCCCATTTGTCTCGGGCCCTCTGGCTCCCAGTCTGTCTGGATGCTGAACCTGCTTTGGATCACCATCCTGGTTCCTAAGTTCCAAAACCATTGTCTTGACTTTCTTTTTTATTTTATTTTATTTTTTGGTGATTTTTATACATTTTATTTTCATAAAGTAGGTCACAGTAGTTCATTACAGATAATATTCAAACACCCACTCCACCAGCGAGCATCTTCCCACCACAGTAAGAGGGAAGTGTGTGAAGGTTGTTCTATTTCATTCTGGGGCTGTTTGAGCCCGTACATAAGATAATACAAGCAAGTATGTTAAAACCAAACAAATGTGTGCTACTTTAGGTACATAGTGGACTAGCGTATAAGAGGTGGCTGCAAACGTGGCCGTGTGCTCCAGGAAAAACTGCATCGCTCTCTTCCGGGAGCTTTAGTTTATTGTCTCTGGAGCTTGGCCGTTGATGAGATTACATGGTGCCGGGGTAGTTTGTGGGTGTGACTGCCAAGCTACTGGAAAACTGGGGACCTGTGGGGAGGAGGCCCAGTCCCAACCTGAGCGGGCTTGGAGATCTCAGTCACAAGTCCTGCATACCTGGGTTCATTTGCTGGTTCCTTCATGGGTGAGGCTCATCCAAACCTGTGGAGAGCTGCCTTGAGCATGGCTGTGGTTGGGTACTGGAGGTTTCCAGCTGCTGGGATTCTGCTTGGGGCGGGGAGGGAAACTCAACCTGTCCCCGCTCCGGGGTGCCCTGGTGAAGACAGCCTGGTGCAGGGTCAGGAGATTCTGCCTTCCTTGACTTTCTAGCATGGTGTTGGGCTCTCAGCACCTGAGCAGAGTTGTCCTTCTTGGGGCTGGCCGTTCCAAATGCAGTGATGGGAGGTTCCAGAACATCCCTCACTTCCTCTTTCTTCTTGAACATGGGGAGGCCAGCCCAAGTGTGGGGACAGCTACAGAGCCGCTGGAATGCCAGCCCAGCCCTGGTGGCAAGGAGGCAGATGCCGGGCAGAGACTCGGCACCTGGACCCACACCTGCGTGTCGCACTTCCTCCTGCTGGAACTCTACCACCCTGGCCTGAGGGGGGCAGCCACCTCAGGGGTCTCTGGGGCTACTTAGGACAAGATGTTCCATAAAGCTGTCTTTATCCATGGCCAGATTCTACCTGAGGTGACGTCTCAGTGTGTGTGTCTCTGTGTGTGTGTGTGTGTGTGTGTGAGAGAGAGAGAGAAAGAGAGAGACAGACAGACAGACAGAGACAGAGAGACACGGAGAGACACAGAGACACAGACAGACAGGCAGGCAGGCAGGCAGGCCGGCCAGGCAGGCAGGCAGGCAGACACAGGGGAGAAGACAGGGATGGAGCGAGGCAGGAGGAGAGGAAACGAGAGATAGAGAAATAGAGTGAGAGAAGAGGAAGAGGGGAGATGGAGAGAAACGAGAGAGAAGGAAGAGAGAAGAGAGGAAAGAAGAAGGGAGAGAAGGGAAGGGAGAGAGAAGCGCGAGAGGAGGAGAGGGGGTGGTGGAGCCGGGAGACCATGAGAGGGACCGAGGTGGAGACAGAGCCCTCTGGAGAAGGCGAGGGACGGCTGCCCTGGCCTCCTGGGGCAGCTGCAGGAGCCCAGCCGTCTCCCCTTGCATCCAGCGCCAGAAGGGGCCAGCACCTTGCCCTGCCTGGGAGCAACTTGGGACAGAGCCTCTGAGGGGAGGTTGAGTGAGGAGGTGGAGAACGAGGTGGCAGAAACACAACGCTTGTTTTCACTGTGGTCGTCCTGCAAGGTTGCATTGATTTTTTTTTAAGTGAAAACAGAGCAGTTTCCATTGAAAGAAGCTTAGATAAATATAAGGGGGGATGGAGGGAGAGATATGTGTTCAAGAGAGACCACAGCATTTTCTGGAACAGAAAAAAATGCCTATTTATTTGATTAATTAAATTTATTAGATTTGATTTATTTTCTTTTGGGGGCCTCCTGAGCAATGCTCAGGTGCTCCACGGCCACTCACAGTGATACTCAGCCTAGTTCTGACTGGATGGTTCAATGCCCAACTCACAGAAGCTGGTGGCCATCAGGGCTGCACCTGGCAGTGCTTCGGTTGCCTGTATGATGCCAGGGACAGCATGGTGGGCACATGCGCCAGCCTCTGAGCCCACTCCAGTCCAGTTCCTGAGCTGAGTGAGCCTGTGGCCTGGGCCCACCTCCTGGTTCCGGTAGGGCCATGTGGGGGGGGGGGTGTCAGTCTTCCGATCTGAGGGGACCAGCCAGGGGACTCCAGTTGGCCCTTCAAAACACACCAGATGCCAGGCAACCTGGCCCACCTCCTCAGCCCAGAAGGGGTCCAGAGGGGTCTCCCCAGGAAACAGTATCAACATCGTTGGTTTTCTTAGGCAGAATGAGGCAATGATTTTGATTTTTTGGCAGGGGAACAATGGAAACTTGAATATCTTCCTCCCGCAGCCCTCCCAGAATGCTAAGATTGTACAGAGTGTTCCATCAGAATATTCATAGTTTTAAAAACCACACCCTCCCCATTTTATGTGTGTTCTTTTTAAAAATTGTTCTCCCTTCCCTTTGTTGTCTCTGTTGTAGTTGTAACAAGCCGGACACACATGTGGGGCGCCCTGCTCGTGCACACGAGGTTGCGATGTGATGGCATTTGCTAGGACTCAGGGATCACAGCCACATGTGGGGTGATGCTGGGGGTTGAATACTCAGCCTCACAGCTACATGGCTGGGTTCCTACCTGGAGCCCTTCCTGGCTCTTCCACCAAAGCCCTCTTTGAGACAGTTTCCCCTTTAAAGCAAATCTTGGTGATGGAGATGGGATGAGAGGATTCTGGGACAGTCTTTGGTAGTGGCCATAGAGGAGACCTCTTCCACCTAGGTCAAGATACCAGATCCCAGATCCTGAGATCCCGAGGTCCTGAGACCCCGAGATTTTGTGGTTTCTTGGGGAGCAGGGAAGGGGTGACTGCTATGAGGAAGGGACTGGGCTTCAGGGACCTCCTTGCTCTGGGGACTAGATATCACCTGGTCACCAGGTGGAAAATTTCATCCCCTCCCCATACAACCAAGAGCCTTCTAAGGAGATAGTGGTGACACTAAGCAATCCTCTTTTTAAATTTTATTAATAATTTTTGAAATTCAAGTTTAGATAATCTGGTTACAAATGCGTTAACATTTATGGTTGGGGGCTGGAGTGATGGTACAGTGGATGGGACACCCCATATGGTCTCCTGAGCACCTCCTAGAATGATCCCCGAATGCAGAGCCAGGAGTAAGCCCTGAGGACCACTAGAGGTGTCCACCCCACCCCCAAAAAGGGCTAACATTTATGGGTTTTGGTGTATGCACCAAAATGTTGTGACACCTCACCACCACCAAAGCACCCAAGATCCACCGTCACTGTGTTTATCTCACCACTAGCCCATCCCTTTCTCCCCCTCTACCCCGACTGCTTGTAACTTGAGGTGTATGTCCAAGGCCAAGGGTTTGTCATCGGTCAATACTGTCTATTGCCTTGGGTGTTTCTCCTTAATCTGCAGATGGGTGTGATCACCTGGTATTCGTCCTTCTCCCTCTGACTTTTCGCTCAGCATGATTTGGTGCCTTTCAGTTCATCCACAAAGCAGAAAACTGCATGCTATCATTTTTCCTTAGAGCTGCGTAGTATTCCACTGTTTATAGAGACTCTCTCTTTCTCTCTCTCTCTCATCTTTTGTAGGAAGCACACCTGAAGGTGCTTAGGACTTAATGTTGGCCTTGTGCTTAGAGATCATCTCTGGGGGTGCTCAGGTGAACCTATGGCATTTCAGGGATCAAATTAGCTCTCCTTTTTAAAAATTTTGCTTTTTGAGTCACATCTGGAGATGCTCAGGGGTTGCTCCTGGCTCAGCACTCAGAAATCACTCTTGGTGGTCCTCGGGGGACCATATGGGATGCCGGGAATTGAACCTGCAAGGCAAATGCCCTACCTGC